AACATAGTACAGTAAATATATAGTATACTGTGAGCACTGCAAGTAATACAGTATTGAATATCTGTATATTCAGCACTTGCATAAAAATACAGTACAGTAAACCCAAAGAACAAAAAAAACTCTAAATGAAAAGACTTTACACTCAAAAATGTTAAGCAGACCAAAATCAAAGTCAATGAGAGATTCATTCTGCCTCAGCATCATGTCTTTGTGCTGGGTCCTGCCAGAGGACTTCGTCCACATCACATGCCCTTGTCCCTTGCCCAGCAAAGGAGGAAAACCCTCGGGTGTGCTGGAGACAGCCTGACTGTAACAACACCCCACTCACGTCTCACCACAGGCCTATTCTATGGCCCGTAAGAGATTTTCTGTAGTAAATGACTTTCGGTCATAGACCTTCCTCCATCAGGCAGAGAAAAATTCTTCTGTTGGTTTGAAGTAAGGGCTGTAGGTTGAAGGTAAACATTTATGAATCACTGGTTGCTGGTTTACATTGAACCACTTGCTTAGTCACAGTGAAAGCTGACATTGTCCCATAGACAGTATGTACTGCCGGCTGATGATCCTGCTGCTCACGTTCAAACACAAAATTCCAACGCGTGAATGTTAGTTTCTGTTTGAGCACTTAGGCTCAGTGAATGAATATGTGTGAATGGTGAATGCAGATGTAGTGTAAAAAGCGGTAGAGAACCTGTCCCTTACTTATAGCTTGGTCAAAGTGTGACATTGCCACCACGCTGGCCAGGGACTTGACCACAGGTTTGATCACATCATTAGAAACAAGAAAGTGTGCAGAATTATGAGTTGTTGTGTGTAAACGATGACAGCTGTGTTGTAGTTGTGTTTAACTTTTGCTGCATGTATTTACCATTTTGCAACACAAGTGCGTCACAGTGCAAAATGTGTTTTAGGCCACTGGGTTCAGAGAATGGGGTTTACTTTTTTAGGAATTGTGAAAAACTGTAATAACGTGTTTATTCAAACTTGAACTGAAATTAATCATTTATAGCCAAACACAACTCAAAATGTTCCTTTGACTTCAATTTCGGCTCAACAAGCAAATATTTGTTGTTGTTACATTTATGTTTCTGTGACTTTTAAAAATAGCACAAAATGTAAGAGCACAAATTAACAACATGACTTTAATCACAAATCCTGATTTTAGAAATCTTTTGTGTACATTAAAACAAAAACATGATGCCAGAGACTCACTGCAGAGAGTGAAAACTGTGGTCTCCCCCACACAGGGATACAGAGAGTCATACTAAATGGTGTGCAAATTCATTTGAATGGCCAGGACAACTTATATAATAAGTATTAAAAACAATTTGCAGTGTATTACACTACAACAGACAGCAAACCTGAACACCAGTATCAAAGCCACCACTACGGAGCCCCAGACGTCCCATAGAATAATATTTTTAACTTGTGCACGCAATTCATCTTATGGGACTTGAGGGGCTCCGTACGCCACAGCAGTGACAGTGGTGCTTATAGAAGCCGAAAAAAGTTCAAGCAAAAGTGGATTTCATTTCAATCAACCATTAACAACACGGGCGACTGAAATAAAATAACATTTATTTGCCCCATTTTCACATTATGTTGGTGTTGAAATGACAAGTAGGTACAAAAAGTTTTGAATCCGTGCAGTAGATGCTTCAACCGCTTCCACAACAAGTGGTTCTTTTTGCCAGCGACAGGCCCAGACTGTCTGACAACATCATGGAAAAGATCCCAACGAGGGATTTCTGGTGACCCCCTTTGTTTTCAACAGGAAGCTGAAGTCTCGGCCAAGGCAGTACTCACTGAAGTCTCATTAGAGGAGAGTTGTTGTAGGAAATGCCAGGGGAAATGAGGGAGGGGAGTTTCCTGTGTAAATAGAGGAGCTGATAGCAAGACTTTATTTTTCTCAAGTAGGCTACTGCACCAACTCTTCAGGCCTGCTGTTTCCTGATCACATCATGGTAACAATGTAAAACATTTCTGGTCTGAGCATGTGAGGCACATTAGCAGTGCGCAAAACACATTCTGCCTAAAGTAACAAACAGGGTGTTGGATCTACTTGTATGGTTTTAATGTACTCGATTCTTTTGGGATTCCAGACACAATCCTCCTCCAAACCGCTCGCCACCATTCCACACCCGGGTGGCACCCAGGCGGTGTTATAGCCGTGGTCATGCCAGGTCTTCTGAAGTGGATGGCCTTGATAATCGATCTTTTTCACTCTCCCCACGCTGACCTTAACCACAATGACGACCTTGTCAGACTCAGGGTGATTATGGGGATAGCAGCTGGCTTTCTCCACGTCTCTGCTGAGGTAGACGCCGCGGCCGAGCATCCCGTCTTTAGACTGCCGAAAACCATCAGACTCGATGGCTTCAGCATTCTTCCTGGTGGTGCCGTGGTACATGATATATTTTTACCTCTGAACTCCTGGTTCATGCTGGTGTCAGAATCACTGCAGGAAAAAGGTTTATTAGTGTCAAGACTTCAGAAGGACTCCATGTGAAGAAACTAAACATCATTGAAAATAAAAACAATCCAAGTATGAGACCAGAAAATTAAGAAAATATACAACAGGACGCTCCAGTATTTAAGGTCCATTTAAATGTTTAGTCTAGTTTAGCACAAAGACTGGACCAATGTTCACATATCTGGTGAAATGTCTAATCAATTATTTGGATGGCTTGCCATTAAATGTATGGTATTTTACTCATAGCTTAGTTTCTGCTAAAATTGGCTGCAGCTTCTTAATTAAACACAGTTCCAAAGTGTGATCGTTCAGACAAACATCCTAAATCAGGAAGCTCACAATTATCAGCCTCCACATTTTCCACGGACGGGTTTACAGCACACTTCCTATAAGACAAACTAAATTTGTCTCCTCATACTGATTATACTTTATGTAAAAATGCAGACGTTCACGTACCTCTTTCCAGTTCCCTCCAAGGCTACTGGCTTTCACTATTCACCTCACTCTTTTTACAAGGACTTTTAGGAAGAAGTGCATCTGTCTTTCACTTTCTTTCTTTTCTCTGTGACTCCTCCCCTCCCGCAGAGCCTGAAGCAGCTTTCTGACACAATTTAATTTCCAAATTCATACAGTCAGTTTCAAAGCATATATGGATCGCATTCATTTGCAGAAGCTATAGAAACATCTAAATCCAGACTAGATAGCTATGAGTTCATTAACCAAATAATCTTTAACGTGACTGCTTTTATGCTCAATCTGTCATCGATGTAAAGACGCCATGGATTCAACCTCAGCTCAGAATAAAATCTTCAGGCTAACACTGTGACTATGTGGACATTAAGCCACCTGTCAGGTTGTCAACATTTACCGTAGGCTACTTTAGGCTACTGCAGAAGCTAATCACTGTTAAATCAGTGGTTTTCACCCCTTTACTGACACAGAATAGACCGCATTTGATAAGATTTTGTCCCAGGATCACCCATCAGATAACATTCCTGCTTTTAGATGTTTTATTACAGAAAGTGTATTACACATGACCAAAGTAGTCAAATGTTTTGTCATTGTGTTACATGGAATTATAATTGAGGGGATCACCTGGAAAACCCTCAAGGACCCCTGGAGGTCCAGTTCAAACTAATCTGTTTGAACAGGAAGCTGTCACTGATCAACGAACAATAATTTTTCATGTTGATGGAACATTCCTATAATAATTTCCATGTTGGAGAGGATGTGAATATTTCTGAGTGAGGATGATTGTGGTGCAGCTGAAACGACTAAAAGGAGCTTGTAGTTTTTGAATTTTAGTTGCATTTTCAACAGTACTATTTCATTAAAATTAAATTAAATAAAAATTAGAACTACACAACCCCCACATAGACTGCCCCAGAGAAAAAGAGAAAGACGAGGTTTTGAGGGCCCCAGGCTGTGACTGTAAGGAGGGCGCAGTGATATCGAAGGCACTGCAACAGACAGTTGTGCCCCAAGCTGCGCTGGCAGCTCCACCGATTGATGGCATTGGTTTTTCTGTGATACGTTTCAAGTGCATAGTTTGTGCTAACTCGTACGTAGTGGCATAATTTGTGAATTCAAGACGTACATTCATTGATTTCATTTATAGCATTTTCCCTCCCTTTCCACACAGTTCTCACAGGTTGGTCTGATATGCTGTAGAAATAAACCCATTTTTTAAATCACGACCTCGTGTTGACTACTGTAGGGAGCTACACAGGGTCCTCCTCACCACATGGACCGCGGCCGAGGGCCACTGTCTTGACGGCAAAAGCAAAAGCAAGTTCAGCACCAAGGACCGAGAGGAGATCCCCAGGTGATCTACAGTGCACCAGTGCTGGAGGTGTGGCAATAAACAGCACACCTGCTATTGTGCAACCTACAAGGGCGTTACATGTGTTGAAAAGTTGTGGGGACAAAGGGGCTCAGAAGACATGATGATACGCAAAATTTTAATCATTAAACATTTCATTTCCTGCATTCTGGGGAAAGTTTCTGCCCTAATTTATGGTGGAAATGTTTTTATTTATTTAACATAACGCAGTGCAGCTCTCTGATATAGTTTCCCTTCATGGCATCGCCCTGGCCTCCAGCACCACTGTGAGGAGTCCTGAAGTTATCTTTGATCAGGACAAGTCGTTTAAGTCTCACATTAAGCAAATGTCAAGGACCGCCGTTTTTCACCTACGTAATATTGTGAAAATCAGGAACGTTCTGTCTAAAAATGATGCAGAAAAACTAGTCCATGCATTTCTTACTTATAGGCTGGATTACTGTAACCAGGCTGCTCAAAAAGTTCCATTAAGACTCTTCAGCTGATCCAGAATGCTGCAGCACGTCTTCTGACAGGAACCAGGAAAAGAGATCACATTTCTCCTGTTTTAGCTTCTCTGCATTGGCTTCCTGTAAAATCCAGAATATAATTTAAAATCTTTGAATTTTTAGATTATGAAATGTTTTTGTCTCTTAGACAGCTGTGGAATGAAGCAATTTCATTCAAACTCTTTTTTCCTTTTTTGCAAATGCAATACAAAACTTTAATAAACAAGACAAATAAACCTCCAAAGCTTATTGTCATTTCAAGGATGACTGCTTGTTCAACCACACATACAGAGTTTGTCTGGCTGCTCAGGTCAAACAATCTCTTTTATCTTTACTACAATGTTCATCCTTTAAATAAAACATCACACCAGACAGGAGTCATGAATTATTAATACATTTAATGGAGGAGTGTTGGTCAGTAGTTTCCTGTTGGTCAGTGCTGTGTGTAGTTGTTGTTATGTCAGTAGAGTCTGAGTGCAGTGCAGTCTGTCTCCCGGCGTCTCGCTGGCCACAGCAGCTTGTCTCTGGACCGTCTGCTGGGCTTCCCTGGACCAGGTGTCGGCCTCTGCTCACCTGCAGACAGTTTTGTTTAGTTGTGACTGATTTCCAAACAAAATACAAATTCATACGATCAAACGGAAGCAACCAATATGCCTCACAGTATAACAGGTATGACTGAGATGCACAGTAACATGGAGGATTATCATTCATTATATTAAGACACAAAACCAAACAGCTCCTACAAGATGTAATTCTACGAGTAGGTCATATATAATCCTCTAACAGTATATGCTAATTGTGATATTGCACTTATTCTAGAAAATATTTTGCTTAAGTGTTTATGGATCAAATGATCAGATGAGAGTGTGTTTACTTTATCACAAACTCTATCAACAGATATTCATTCATTATTCTGATACTCTGTTTAAATGAAAAGGTGCAGTTCCTCACTGTGACCACAGGAGGGCAGTAAACTATCATTATTGTGTTTTTTAATTTTCTTCCCACTTCCAAAAAGGAAATAAAAGTGGCTGAAACACTCACAACACAACACTCATTCTGTGCTGCTTTCAGATCTGTTTCTCCTGCAGATCAACTTTTCTCATGTAATATCATCCCAACACATATGTAGGCAGGATTTAGTCTTCCCTCCTCTTTTGTCATGTTCAAATGGAAACAGAAAACAAAAAGAAACTGTGTCAAGAAGTTGTTAAAGTTCACATTTTATAATCAGTAGCTTGTTTTAATCCGTGGTGGGGACATGTCCTCAGCATCCCCAGCACATATGGCGACCTGGAGTAGTAGTTGTCCGACTCCTGACAACATACTTTGATTATCCTTTAACAGAGACTCCAGTCTGAAGCGTCACTTCACTGATGAACCGCAGAGCTGCAAAGTTACATTAGGCTTCATGATCAAAGAAGGTTTTCATATAATTTCCACACTTGTGTTCATTTTTCTCTTTTTCTCTTTTCTCAGCTGTGAGTCTGCTGCGGGCGAAACACACATGAGACCGCCGATGTCAGTAACCTCCAATAAGGGGGTGTGTCAACCAGTAAAAGACTTCTGTGAAGGCTGCTCTCATGTATCCTTGCTCGTGGCTCCTGGCACGTCAGAGATCCCTCCTCGCTCCTCAGAGCACAAATCATGATGAAGCAGCCTAATAAAATATTGAATACAACTTTTCCAAAATCTCAAGCTGTCTCCAGGCCTGCTATTTCCTGATCAAATCATGGTAACAAGGCTTGGTAAAATCATACAGCTCCCGGTATTCAGCAGCTTCCACCAGTTGTCCTTCACTATTGTGATCCAATTGGAAAAAAACACAAAGGATTTCGGGCACTTCAGCATTCAGAGCGCTCCTGCAAAAATGCGAGGTGCTCCAAGCATCTACAGCGTGAAGCGTGTAGGGCACAAAACCACCTCCTGTCTAAATTAAAGAACAGGCTTTTTTGTGTTGTTTTACAGTTTTAATGTACTTGACTCGATCTGGATCCCAGACACCGGCCGAGCATCCCGTCTGCAGACTGCCGAAAACCTTTAGACTTGATGGTTTTAGCAGCCTTCCTGGTGGTGCCGTGGTACATTATATATGTTTGACCTCTGTACCCCTGGTTCACGTTGGTGTCAGTATCACTGTAGGACAAGTAGACTTCAGAAGGACCCCATGTGAAGAAACTAGCCATGTGCAAATAAAACAATTCAGGAATGAGACCAGAAAAATAAGAAATTATACAACAAAACGCTCCAGTATTTAAGGTCCATTTAAAGTTCTTGATGTTTATCCTAGCTTAGCACCAGATTTGGGTTTTAGAGAACTGCGAGAGGAGAGTTTGGGCGATCTTAAGGCTAATTTATACTTCTGCGTCAAATCGACGGCATAGGTGACGGCGTAGGCTACGGGGCTACGCAGAGGCTACGCCGTTGCCTGACGTGCACCTTCTTCAAAATGTAACAACACGTCGAGTCGACGCGGACCGTAAGCTCTGTGATTGGTCGGCTGGGTAGCCTCGCAATGCCTCCAAGCCGACCGGAAGTACCCCGTGCTTTGAAGTAACATTTACTAGCGGAACTAGTCGCAACCCGAGCGAAATGACTCATTTCAGAATGTGATCCACTTGGTCGATAAAATTTGAAAAGGCTACACCAGCCGCACGTTTACAATTTTACCCCCATTTACGTTAGCAGAGCACTAAACCAGAAGTTAGCCTGCTCGGCCGGCAAACGTCAACACAGTGGACGCCATAGCGCTACTGCCGACTAGCGTTTGGGGGTGTAATTGCAGAATGACGGACACACCAACGCACAAGTATAAATGCATGGCTACGCAGACCCTACGCAGGTGTATAAATCGGCCTTTATATATGTGTTGGTGATTGGATTTGCAGGTGTGTGTGTAATGAGACGCAGGTGGTTAATCAGTGAGGGGAAAGAAGGAAGGAGTGGTCCTTTTCCTGAACCTCAGTTTACATAACACCATTAAAAAAGAAGCTGTGCGCGTTTACGCCCGAGGTACAGCAGCGTAACGTCTGATCATGAAAGTAATTCATTAAAGCACAAACACATATTGCCTATGGAAATCTGTTTACCCATGGTCCATCAGGGGAGCTACCGTCTTGTTAAGAGGAGCCGAGCTCCCCCGTAGTGTCCACCCTGCCCACAGTCTCAACCATCGGATTCCAGCAACAGGAAATAACGTTACTCTTTTAATCATGGATTTGTTTTTCTCGTGCTGAGATTGTAACAGGTACAATATTACCATTTATTGTTTAGTAATGTGTTACAGCAAAAAGCAATACATCACGGTAATTCCATTACTTTTGTAACACGTTACTCCAGAAATGGAGCGGCCACACGTGAGAGAAGACAACAAACGCCGGGAGCTGCTGTGCCATTCATCATAAACTTTGGCTTTAAAACTTCATTTTATGAGTTTTATGAGTCTGTGGTGGCCAGTGCTATCCTGTTTGCTGTTGCATGCTGGGGCAGCAGGCTGAGGGTAGCGGACGCTAACAGATTCAACAAACTGATCCGCAAGGCCAGTGACGTTGTGGAGGTGGAGCTGGAGTCTCTGTCGGTGGTGTCAGAGAGGAGGATTATGTCCAGACTACATGTCATCTTGGACATTGTCTCCCACACACTCCATGACGTGCTGCTCAAACACAGGAGGACTTTCAGTACAAAACTTATTCCCCCATAATTAGTTAGTTATTCAACTGGACATTATTATCTGTTTTTGTGCAATGGTATCTGTCAATAATTAATGTGCAATACTATGCTGCAGTTCTGCTTTATTCAACCTGCTGTTCTCCATTGCAATTCTTTCATAATGTAAATATTGTACATAACCATACCCCTTTATATTTTTCTTTACATTTTATTTTTATACCCTTGTATTTATGTATTTCTTTATCAACCTTCTTTCTATTATTACTGTTGCAACATTAACACAAGAATTTCCCCTCGGGGATCAATAAAGTATTTCTGATTCATACAAGGCCCAAGAAAAGAAGCGCAGAACGCAAAATAGGTTAGGAACCTGAGCATGTTCCATGGCCATCTAACGTTGGCTTGCTTCTTGCTTTAGCTACGACTCAGACTGTCGTTTGTTATGAAAAGATGAATGAGCGTTTGTTTACTTGCCAAACTTGTGGTTAACGTAATCACTTACGTCCCGCTGGCTGCCATCACGTTAATTATTACCGTTGGCTGCAAACAGGTTACAGGTTCATTGTTGATTTATTTAGTTATAATGTTACACTGGGTTTGAGAGTCTGGTGTGTGTGTGTTTATAAACTGTCATTAGTTGTAGAGGCATTGTACATTAGGCTACATGGTTGTGCTCTGTGAAAAACAGGTTACAGGTTTATTGTTGATCATGTAACACCACAGTTTTATTAACTTAACATTTCACTGGGTTTGAGAGTCAGCGGGTTGTGTTGACTTACAGTAGGCTAGTTGATAAGCTGTCATTAATTGCATTGCACATTACATGGTTGCGCTCTGTAAGTGAAAAACAGGTTACAGTTACAGAATCCCTTACAGCGAAGCAGTTTTATAAGCAGCCTGGATTGAACGCAGCAGGTGAAACATTCATCATAACCACGAGTGACTTGAGACTTAACTTGGACTCTTGCTCAGAGACTTGTGAGCATCTCTACGGTACTCCCAACACTGCTTAGCACTAAGATTGGACAAATGGTGAAATGACTAAACAATTATTTGGATGGATTGCCATTACGTGTATAGTAATGTTTTACTAACAGCTTAGTTTCTGAAAAAAATCGCAGCTTGACTGCAGTTTCTTAATGAGATTAAACACAGTTCCAAAGTGTGATCGTTCAGACAAACATCATAAATCAGGAAGCTCAAAGTTGAGTCGGCCTCAACATTTTCCACAGACGGGTTTACAGCACACTTCCTATCAGACAAACTACATTCGTCTCCTCATACTGATAATATTTTATGGGAAAATGCATACTGTGTGTGTGTTCACGTACCTCTTTCCAGCTCCTTCCAAGACAGCAGGCTGTCACTGTTCACCTCGCACCTCGGACTTTTGGGAAGAAATTCCAAAACAGTACATCTATCTTTCACTTTCTCTCTTTACCAGGATACCGGTTTGGCAACTGGGAATTCCCGTCTGCATCTCATCCTTAATTAGTGTTACCCAAAGTTTAGTAAGTGCATCGAATACCACCAAAAATATCTTCCACATGTTGAACAACCTGCTTATGTAATACGATGGATTTTGGATGTGCGGAGCCGGGGCAGAGGCCTGCAGTATCTCATGGATTTGGAGGGTTATGGCCCTGAGATTCCTCTGTCCGTCATCTTAGACCCAGAGGGAGTCAGAGTTTCATCTTACCCATCTGGATAAGCCTGGTGGCCAGCAGGCTGCCATGTGGTGGTTTACTGTCATGATTGGCTGCGCCGCCCTCAGACTGAAGTGTTTTGCCCTGTTTTCCCCTTCCTTGAAACACGCACATAGACACACACCAGTGGATGGACACTAACCAAATGTTTGCCCAAGGTCACCACAACATGAGGACAAGAAGAGATCAGCTGCACTGTGTAAAAACATTTTTTCAGAGGTTCCGATAAAATGTTATCTCTGTTACCTTGACATGTTAAAGTTGCAGTGAAGACTGTTCAAAGTGAGTCCTGTGAATCCAGAGTTAAGGGAGATAGAAAGGCGGATACATCCCATACTAAAAATATACTCATCAAACTTTCAACAAACCACTCAGCAGCTCAGGTTGAATGTGACCCATTATTTATTTTATTACAATGACACAGTAACAAAATGTCATTTACTTTTTATCCAAATATATAAAAATACATTTGAACATACAAAATAAATAGTTCAGCCCATGTATCCATAGGGACCACATCCATAGTAGGGTTGGACTGGGCGTGGGTTGATGGTATCAATGATCTGGATTTGACAGGGATCCCAGACGCAATCCTCCTCCAAACCGCTCTTCACCATGCCACACCCGGGTGGCACCCAGGCGGTGTCATAGCCATAGGCATGCCAGGTCTTCTGACGTGGATGGCCCTTAAAATTGATGGCGATCACTTGCCCCACGTTGACCAGAACCCTGATGACGACCTTGTCACACTCGGGGTGACCAATGGGATAGCGACGAGCTTTCTCTACGTCTCTGCTGAGGTAGACGCCGCGGCCGAGCATCCCGTCTTCAGACTGCTGAAAACCTGTAGCCAGGATGGACTGAGCGTTCTGCCTGGTGGTGCCGTGGTACATGATGTACTTATTACCACTAACTGGCTCAGAGAGGCCCAGTCGATTTACCCCATAGGGCAGACTAAAGTCATCTTCAGCCCACTGGTACTGCATGCTGGTGTCAGTCTCACTGTAGGAAAGAGGATTGTCAGTGTAAAGATTTCAGAGGGATTCCCTGTGAAGAAACTAAACAGCGTTGCACACAAGACAAAACACGCTAATGGCTCTGCGAGGCTTTACTTAGTGGGCATTCATAACGAAAACAGGATGTGTGTGTGGGGGCATGTTGCATCAAGTACTGGTGAGACATGAAATACTATCCAGAAAGTCCAGTTTAAGTTATAAATCAAGGCTCATCAGATGCAAAAATACTGCACAGAGGTTCAGATATTTTGTTGTGATAAAGTAAACACTAAAAATACTTGCTAATCTCCCCCAAATGGAGATTTTAGATGGTTGTACTTTACCACACATCCTCTGTTGCAGACTGAAAACTCATCTGTTCAGACTGCATCTTGCCCTGTCTCGATTTATTATAGTTTTGTTATTGTTTATATTATTAATGTGTTTCTATATGTAGCATTTAAAGCAGATCAGCTTATTGATTTGAGTTGATGCAGGATTATTGCCCAATTTCCGGGTTGCAGACGCATACTGTAGTTGAATGCTTATTATAAATCACTTTGGATAAAGTGTCAGCTTAATAAATGCAATGACTGTAATGCAGTGATAACATATTGAGGTTAGCTTTAAACAAAAATGCAGGTGTTTCTTTCAATTGTTCAGAAAGTTACAATCAGGTGAAAGGGAGACTTTTATATATAAAACCCAACACCACTACTTTACCATCTGCACAGCACACTATATTCTTTGTCTTTAGACCCTGGATCCAGATAAGGAAAAACTCCCCCACATACTCCTTTAACCGCCTGTAGCTCTCAAAGACCTCGCAGAGGGTTTTTACTGAAACACTATCTAAACTTTGCTGTGCGTATTTTTGTAAAATGTTCTGTTAAATGGATCACTTCACATTTTTGCAACCCCGACCCCATCAAAATGATGTTTTTTATCATCCATGACAGTGTGTGGCACAATTTCTTTAGATTCTGAGAAAATCGCTGTGGTTTGAAAGTGTCCCACCATGACACATCTGCTTTTATCAGTCAGGGTCAGCATTTTCCACTGAAGGTTTAAGAGCACATTTTCCATCAAACTAACTAACTTCATCTCCTCGTACATGCAGTATTGACAATAATTATTGTAAAAATGGATACTTTTAAACGAAAAAAATCAAGTGTGTGTTCACCTACCTCTCCTCCTCTCTCTCGTCCTCCAAGAATGCAGGCTGTGAGTTCACTCTGCTTTTTATAAGGGAGGAAGTTTAAAAAATGTGCGGTCAAGCTTTAGTTTCGTTTCCCCGTTGGCACTGTTTTATGACTTTTTTCAAAAAGGATGTTTGTATTTGCTGTTTCTTGTCCTGCCAGCCAGCGTAGGGATCAGTGATGTCTTTGTCAGATGTAAGTGTGGAAGTTATGGGGCTTTACTCCCCTCTCTTACTATGCCACAGATATTTTTACCACAAGAAAGAAGAACAGATTTATTCAGAGTCTCATGTACAGTGGCAGATCGCTCCACACAGATCTCATGTTTTTCTCCATCGTTTCTTCAGAGGAAGCTTGAGGGACATTTAAGTCACAATGTCCATGTACATCATGATTTATTGGTTAAGTCTGTTTGCATTGCACTCAGCTGCATTTTGTCTTAAGAGATACCCCAAGTTTTCCACGACAACCGAGTGTAAAACATTCTTTGGTTGAAGTTTTGGCCGTCCCTGCAGGTGAGGTCATTCAGACAGCCAAAAACACTTTTGTCTCCTAATGCTTGATGCTTACGTTTGAATCCAGTTTACTTAAAAGTTAAAAGTGTCTCATACAAAATTCCTCCTTATTTTCAAATTGTGTGTGGACTCTTTGCCAGGACTGCACATTTTTCTGAGTGTAATGTCAGGGCTGTGACTCATCCCCAAACAAACACGCTCTGAGCTATGAGCATGAAACGAACAACTGATCTTTGGCGGTTTTCACTTTCGCGCCAAGATGTTCTGCTCTATAATCAGAGTGTGACTTTCTAAACAAAAATCAAGGGTCATGCTCTGATTTTGTTTCTTCAAGTTCCAGTGTGTAATATTTAGGAGGACCTATTGACAGAAATGGAATATAATAATATATATATATTAATATAAATATGTTTTCAGTGATGTATAAAGACCTCACATGATGATGTTTTTATTACCTTAGAATGAGACATTTCTATCCGCATACACTGCGGGTCCTACATGGAAGAGCTGCCATGTTTCTACAGGAGCCCAAAGAGAGAAACCACCGTAGCTTCTCCTGAGTTCTTTACACATCTACTTTGTCATACCGAATAGCAATTCAAAATGTACATCAATTATTTAAAAAAAGAAAGGATAACATTTTCAGCAACTCAGAAAATGAAGTGACAACAACAACGACGTTGAAAATAAATTGTAACCCCAGAAAACACTGATTATTCACTCATTGCACAAAGGGTCTGAGGAAGTAGACAAGAAAACTGTTTGCAGGTCGACACAGCAAAGCTCCAGGCTGTGACTGTGAGGAGATCCAGGAGGGAGCAGTGATCTGAGAGCCCCGCCAAAACAAAATCCTGTCATCCTGCAAAAAAAAGGAGCTGGTCACCCAGCAAATGGAAAAGCAAATTCTGCCATCTGCTGGTTCCCTGGCGGATCATATCAGGCATATTGGAGAACACAAACCTCGTGCAAACCTGTTTTTACCATCTAAGAATGGATTACCGCAACAGCCTTTTTACTGGCTTTGCCCAAAAGACCCAATAAATATATCTGCCAGGCTTTTAACCAGAGCAAAGAAACGCAATCACATCAATCCTGTTTTAGCTTCATGAAACTGGCTCACAGTATGTTTTAAAATAGACTTTAAAATTTATTGATTATATATTGATTACTTTTAAGCCTTTTAGTCCCGTTGGCACATACCTTGAGATGCTGGGGCGGAGGTCTGTTGTCGGTTCCAGAGGCCCGACTTAAAGCTCACAGTGGTTTGCTGAATTTTAATCTACTGGCAGAATGTGTTTATATTATTCATTCGTAGTTTTAGCATTTGGATTTATTTATATTCTTCTTGGGAATTCATTAATTGGATAACCCAGAATATGATCATGGACGGAATTATCAGCCTCACGTGTAGCTGAATGGAAATGACCATAAATGATGTAAAAAGTAAAAATAACAGATTATGAAAACAAACTAAAGGAAAATTGAACTGTCCAATCAATAGCCAGCAGTGGCCTTATTACGCGTCTAGGAGCTCATTTCAAGACAAAACACAAAATAAAAAAAGAAGTAAGGATTTAATCTGGTTTGTGTTAATTATTTACAGCACAACATAGAAATAACCCAAACAGTTCATTGATTAAAAACTGACATTTTTGATCAACAGAGAAAACATTTTTGTTTCTGTGACCTTTAAAAGGACGAGCACAAATTCACACCATGATGACCTAATTTTAGAAAACATCTGTGTACAATAAAACAAAAACAGTAATTTAATGCTGCGATCTATACCTTCATTTAATGCTGGTTAGAATATTATAACATAAATGATGACAGAGAATCACTGCAGAGAGTGAAAGCTGTGGTCTTCCTCACACAGGGACACAGAGAGGTCAGTCTATATACTGACTTTTTGTATTAATTTGAAGGGCCAGAATAACTTTTACAAGAGTTTTAAACATTTTACACCACAGCAGACAGCAAACACCAATATACTGCAGCAGCTACAGTGGTTCTTAAAATGTTTCTGTCACTCCCCCCGTTAGAAGCCGAAAAACGTTCAAGCCCCCCGACTCCAGTAAAAGTGGATTTAATTTTTATAAATCATTAACAATAAAGTAAAACATTCAATTTAGCAAAACAGCCTTGTTTTTGTTTATGCCACAACATGAATCACATTCATGCAGCTTAGTCAAGAACAGGAACTAAACTGAAGAAGATGAAGAGGCAGAGGCAGAGCGTGGAAGAGAGAGCGACGTGACCCAACGACAAGTTCATCATAGTCTCTAATAATGCAGCGCAGCGAGGAT